CCCGAAGTTTATGAAAACTACTGGCTTGTGGCTAACTTTGCCTCTTTTGAATTTGACAACAGACTGGTCAAATCCCATTTCCAGGACCCATTTTAAGAGAACAGCTTTAATACATATTCGTGGAAGAAACAAGCATTGGCTACTGCAGGCTTGCAAGAATAATTTTTGGAAGAACATTTTAATTGAAATATAATCCACATACAGCAAAAGTTGTCCTTTTAAGATGTACAGTATGAGCCCTGACCATGTTTGCAGCCATGTAACTGCTACCAAAGCTGTTGAGCCTTGTTGCTCAATGAAGGCACCATGCATATGAGCATGGGGGGTGAGGACTGAGCAGGCCCCAAACCAGGTATGATTTAAATGTAAAAAAACATACCAGACATCAAAGATTTGGTTGAGAAAATGCAAAGGAGCTTAACACTTTTATATTTATTTTATGTGAAATTACAATATTGTATATGAATCACCTGAAGTACAGCAAAAATAATTTTACCTGTGTCTTCCCTCTTTTTATGCACCTATTAGAAATTAAAAGTTAATGATCACACTTGTGCCTCAAATTGTCTTTTGCTGACAGATGGTTTTTCACCTTGCCTATTTGCAGGGAATACCACACCCGGCCCCAGCTCCAGGCAACTACTAATTACCTTGTATCCCTGAAAGATTTGTTTTTAAGAGGATTTAAAATACTTCCCTTAAAATACTTATCCTGTAGTCTCTAATTTTTCTTAAGCATTTTGTGGAGGCTTTTAAAACATAATTTTTAGCATTCATTTTTAAGTTTGCAAGATTTTTTAAAGACTCATCTATAATATTTGTCAATCAGTATCATTTCATTAACCAGCCTCAGATGCACTTGGGGCAGTAAACTGTCTTCCAAGGGATGTGCATGGTGATCCTCAAATGAACGGAGGCCATTGTGCACACACACAACAGCATCTATTCACAGATGCTGCGGGAGATCTGAGGCAAAGGTGGGGAACCTCCCAGAGCTTGGTTTTTCTTAGCCTCAGGAAGTGTATGTAGAAAAGGCTTTATCTTTAACAGGCTGGGTAGAAATGCACAGCACTGAGTTAGCAGATGTGGGAGGGAAGCAGGAGAAGGGTGTTCTGGCTGGAGCAGGCCTGTGAGGGAGGACTTTGTGGTACTCAATGATAACATCCAGAGACAGGCAAAGCCAGCCAACTGCATCCTGCCTCACTCACCCCAGCCTTGTCTGCTCCCTCTCTGCTTTGCTCCGGATCCCTTATAACTAAACTGAAAATAATTATTATTTATAACAAGCGTTCATGCTGCCTGCTGCTATTCATAGTCATATTTACTTACTCTTCAGATACTTTTTACCATATGTCTGATTTTCCAAAATACAGGAAACACTGTAGGTAGGTTATCTCCTTTCTGACGCTGTATTTTTGTGGTGCGGGAGACTGAATAGAGGGTCTCACATAGGCTGGGAGTTACATCCCCAGCCCTGAGCCCCACTTTCTATTAAGTTAACTTGGGAACTGGGTGACAGTGCCTCTGCCTCTAAATTGGTTCCTTTTTAACAGTCAACCTTGGACATTTCTGCCCTCCCTTCACTTCAAACCTATCTCTGCCCTTACCCTCACAGTGCCCTGAGGACTAGACAGAATGAAGATCGTCTGCATTTTAAGCATTTTGCTGCTAGTCTCTTAAGGAAATTCCACTCTTTGGTTTCTTGTTTCCTGGGGAGCCTACATCCTCCCAGTCTTCCCTTTTAAACATTTTTGGTTTTGATAGAAACACTGCATCCAAATTAGAATGTTGCCAAAGGGAGAACTGTCAGCCATCACCACTGCCCGAGTGTCCAGGGTAGGTAACACTCTTTTCTCCCTCCTACCCAAAAGATTCCTTCTGGTTCTTTCCTCTCGATGGCACAATACACTCAAAACTGAAGTTTCCACAGCGGCTCCCATGCTGGCAGTAGACTGGGTATGGACACCAACTCTGGGAATTCCTCTACTGTGACCCCCGTAGTCTCAGGCTTTTGCGGTCTGGTGCCATGCTGGCAGGAGCAGACACTAACTTGAACCTTCATCCACCATGCTTTTTCAGAGGCAACCATCACATAAACAGAATTATAGTTAATAAATGCACATGATTTTGATACATAACCGGGGTATGTATATCTGAAATATTAGGATAAAATACATCCTTTTCTTCCAGAGGAGGGTGGCGCTGCCAATGCAAGGCAGAGGGAGAGGTTTGTGTGCTTAATCATGGAATGAAAATAAACTGTATCGAACATCCTACATATAATCTCCAATCACCTCAAAATCTTACCAAGGAGGATAGCATTATCTCTGTTTTACAGATGAATAAAATCATGTTAAGAACAGGGATGGAGAGATGGCTCAGCAGGTAAGAGCACTTACTGCTCTTGCTGAGGACTCCTGTTAAGTTCGAAGATCTACATCAGGAGGCCCACAGCCATCTATAACACTAGTTACAAGACCAAGACCCTCTGGCATCTATGTGGTGTACACACATACATCAAATAAATTAGTTTAATAAATAAACATTGCTGCTACAAGTGGCAGGACATAGGGCCTGGAATTTGATAGGCACTCAACTGTCAGGTTTTATATATATAAATGAGCTGTAATCCCATATAAGCTCAGGCAAGAGGATCACAACTTCAAGGTCAGCCTGAGCTACATACATTCTTCCTGCCTTCATCTCCCAAGGGCAGGTATGTACTACATGGCCAGCTAAAATACTACATTAATTTCAAAAACAGCAAAATAAGTGGATAGCCTGCTTGCTTTAGAGACACAGAAACAATAGGAGATCTTAATACACAAAAAGAGACTTGTTACAAGGAATTGCTGAGAAGGTCTGAGATCTGCCATCTGTAATTTAGAGACCCAAGATGGTGACCAGTAAAGCTGTAGTCTGAGTCTGGAGACCTGAGAAGCAGGAGAGTTGAAAGTGTTTACACCCCATCCAAGGACAGGGAAAGGGAAGCTCCTGGACAGCTGAGCAGCTCAAACTTCCCTTTACAGTCTTCTGTCCTAGTCAGGCCCCACAGGGGAGGGCATCCTGCTTTATTCAGCCCACCAGATCCAATGCTAAACTCATCCAGACACCCAGAAAAATATTAACCACAAAACTAGAAACTCCACGGCCCAGTCAAATTGACACAAAAATTATAACCATCAAATCAGAAGCTTCCTTCTTTACAAATTTAGGTTTCAAGTCCTATCAAGTCAAGGGATCTTAGGAAGTGTTCCAGTTCTCAGTCACTATTATTGCTGGCTTGTGGCCCAAACTTCTTTAAGTTCACAGCACATTATCACTGTTAAAATCTCAAGTTTGAGGATGGGTGGTCTTGCTTCAAGAGAAAGTCAGGTTACACTGTCTAAGCAGTACAAAATAAGCCAGGCCAGCAAGTGCAATTAAGAAACTAACACAAGAGCCAGGCAGTGGTGGGGCATGGCCACCTTTAATCCCAGGCACTCGGGAGGCAGAAGCAGACAGATCTTTGTGAGCTCGAGGTCAGCCTGGTCTATAGAGTGAGTTCCAGGACAGCCAGGGCTGCTGCACTAAGAAACCCTGTCTGGAAAAACAAGAAACAAACAAACAAAAAAGAAACTAACACAATGGATTGCTGCTGAAGACCCCAAGCCCCTGACTGACTGGAGACAAAAGCTTGGGTGTCACGTAGAACTGACAGAGGGGGCATCCTAAGGGGGATATGAGTCACTGCCATTTTATGATGGCTTTTTAAGACTCTGAATATATATATATATATATATATATATATATATATATATATAACTAATAGTCATGGCTATCTTTTTTTTTTTCTTGGAGGCTGGAAATAAAGTCAGTTTCAGGGACTTTCACAACCTGAACTGTACATTTAAAATGAGGGAAAATGTGTGTACATGTGTGGAAAGAGAGAAGCAAAAGGGGAGGAGAGAAGAAGGGAGAGTGGGGAGGGAGGTGGGACACAAGAGAACAAGGGAGGGTAAAAATGAAAACTCCAGATTTCTCTGGGCTCTCTCTCTGAAGCTCTCCTGTTTGCAGGACAACGTTCTCCTCTCCACTGCTCATATTTGGTTCACAGTGGCCTATGTTCATGAGGGGCAGAGCAGCACAGTTTTGCCTTGTCCCCTCTTCAGGTGCATAAAAGGAAAGCCTGCTGAGAGTACCTAGTGTTCTGGAATGCAAAAGTCAAAGCAGAGGAAGAAGCCGGAGGCTTATTTTTAACCTTCCTTGTATCATATGTGGTCCTTGTGTAGGGCACTTGCAGCACTAACATGTCTCCTGGAGCATGCGGTTCCCTGAGGAACCAGGACATGGTTTTGCTTGTGGATTGAATCACTTTACCCAGATGGAAGGAGGAGGTGCATGGAGAACCTCCCCAGAGACAGGATGTGCAGAGGCTAGAGACTAGTGCCTGAAGCATAGCCTGTCTGAATTCAGGTTCTCGAGGATATGGTCTGGGAAGGTGAACATGCACAGAACCACTCCCACCTTGACTCTTCAGAAAAACAGTAATGGTTACAGCCCATGTTCCTTCCAGGATAACGCAGAACTGGCTTATCACAAGACCCAGCACACAGCTAAGTGGTCCCTAGTGGCTGGTAAAGTTGGGGCAGTCTGAGAGCCTTGCTAAGTCGTATCTTCTGGACAGCAGAGGAAAGTGCTTCTCCTGCTTCCAGCTAGACCTGTGTCTTGTATCATGCCACCAACACCCACAGCAATCTAATTTAACAGAACCTAGAAATGGAAGCCAGTCCAGTGGTGAAAACCTAAGTGTGACATGTGGCGAACCTTAACTGCAATCTTAGGGGACGAAAACATTTGGGAAAAATCTCACGGAACTGATTGATTCTAATGAGTAGAGTTCAGCCTGCTACGATATGTGCACAGAATACTCTGGAATTGAAGGGTTGGTCCTGTCCCTTTACACATTTCTGACCATAAACTCGGTTCCTTTGTTGCCATGGTAACCAACGGTCTTGGAACGCAAACTTCTCAGAAGCAGTTGGGATTTATATCACTAAGATGTGGACCCTGAAGGGTTTCTGACACCCCCACTTGTCTCGGGAGCTGGAAGCGCCTGTCTCATGTGGGCAGCCCTCATCAGGGAATGACAGAGGCATGGGCATGTGTGAGTGTGTGTGTGTGGTCCTCCAGCTCTATTTACAGAGGGATCATGGAAAATACAGAATAAACATACTATTAGACAGTGGGAGGATGGGTGCTTGAATGGCAGTCACCTGTCCAGAAAGCACTCTGGTATCAACTATTGTAAGACTATGTATTTGTGATCTCTGGTCCACTCACCCCGTAATGGACTTAAGTAATCTAATGGTCATTAGTCATCTAAGCTAAGGATTATTAATAAGCTATTTAGTAAGAAATTGATCTTACTTGGCTATTAAATTAAAATTAAATATTAATATTAATAGGCTATTTAATAAGAAAATAGTTAAGAATACAGAGTAGCCATATATTATTATAAATTTAATAGTAAATTTCTGTTGATGAGAACCACATGTATTTGGATATGTGTATGTATGTACATATGTACACAGATACATGTATTTATCAAGAAATTGGTCTCCTTGACCTCAGGGTTGTGGACCAAAAGCATACTGAACTCCATCCACACTTTCCTGTCATTTTCAATTTTCCTTTTTCTTTTATGATACACGTTCTCTCAAATACTGTCAAGCGAATGAGAGGTACCAAGAAGAGATGCCCAGAGGGTTGTTGTCACACTGTGAAATGCTTTTACAGAGGCAGAGAGTACAAACAGATGGACTGTACTGTATGGAGTGGGATAGTTCCATAGAAAAGGGATGGCTCACACGACTCTCTTCCCTCTCCAATATCATGTATTAATTTTTTCCTTCTGAAGTTCCCTGAGTCAAGGAAGACATGAGATTGGAGACTCAGCACCATGACAACTTCACCCTCTAGCAGTGACTACAGTAGCACAGAGGACTCTGCTTCCGAATGCCAATCTTACCAGAGCCTCTCGATTGGCCACTACCCCCCTGAGAACACGTTTTCCTATGAGGAGATGTTCTCCTGTGAGGAGGCAGCCTCCATGGATTCTTCCATCCACTTCCTCCCTCCTATCCAAGGTACCTGGGGGACAGAGAGTGTAAGGAGACTCTTCCGGAAACGAGATCAGATGGAGGGTGACCCAGAGCAGTTCTGCAAGCTAAGCATCACCCTGGCCTGGGATACTGATGTGAGGTCTGACCATGCAGACTCTCTAGCTAATATGGATCTAAATGGCCACCACCTGTGGATGGATAAGTGGCCAGAAGATAGGACAAAACTAACTCTCTGCAAACTGGATAACCTAGTACAGAAACTCGAGACATTTCTAGAAAAAGAAAAAGGTAGCCAACATGATGGTCATGCACTCCCTGAATCTACTCAGAACAAAGACGTCCACCTGACCAGTACTCCCCCTCCACTCCTTGACATTTGTCAAGACTTGCCCAAGCACAAAACACCAGGAAATGAAGATATCTGTCAGATCTTAGAGAATCCTCCAAGGCTACAGAAAGATGAAGTTGTGGTGAGCACAGAGAAGCCTCCCAGGAGAGCAAGGGGAAGGACTGGGGAAGAGAGGGTTGGACAGTGGAGCCTCACTACCTGCTCTGAGGCAACGTGAGCCCCAGGAGACTAGGACAAGGGAGGAAGATGATACCCAGGAAAGGAGAGAGGGTAGAGCTACAGGAAAGACACCAAGGACCATGGAGGGAGGGGTGAGGGTAGGAATAGCAAGTAGAACCAACCACGTAAAAATGGTTGTATATGTGTCCAAGACAATGGGTCTAGAAGCTCTGCTGTAGTTGGGCTATTTTGGGCAAATGGGCTTGGGTCCTGTAAGGGAGCAGACAGCAAGCCCACTACTGTTGACGCTACATGCATCTAATTCATTCTTGTTTTCTCAACAGGAGATAAGCCAGATAGCTCAAAGCTCCATGGAGACCTCCCCGGTGCCATCCACTCAGCAGGAGGATGCTTCTCACTCATATAGTGTATTCTGTCTGAACTTTCGGTGGATCTTCCACTGGCTGAGGACACAAGTCTTCTCCCGATTAAGGAGAGAACACCCTAGCCAGGCCACCACCAGCTGGCACCAGAAGGCAGCAAGAAAGATACATTCTCTTAGAGGCAACAGAATCCAACCCCAAGAATGACTCAAGAATGAGTTCGCCTGACATTCCCAGATTCTTAAACTTTTTGAAGCCCCTTGTTTGACAGTCCCTAAGAGGTGGTGTGTGTTGTTCTCTCCTCTGCCTCACAAATGAGGAAATCAAGACTAGGAACACATAGGTGGAGTTTCCAATCTTCACATTCCTTCTGAACCAGCCACTTACAACCAGCATGCTGGGGCACCTGAGAACAAGTGTGCCTGAAGCAGTCTGGTACCACGGATCATCAGAACTGCTGTCTCCATGTTGGAGCCATGATCACAAGTGGTAGCTCCAAACCTGCTCAATACCTGCTGGAAGCACAGCCCAAACCATCCTGCCATGGTGGGAGGCTAGTGGGATATATACTGCCTTCTGGAAATGAGGGTATGAGTTAATGAAGAATGAGTAAAACACACATAAAATAGACACAATTGAGCAAAATACAGCAAAAAGAAGCGGGGAGGGATACTATTTAGGAAGCAAAATACTACCTAAGTTTTCTAAGAATGAGTTCAGCCTTCTGAATTCAACAAGTATATTTTCAGCTCAAGTCAAAGTAATTTGCTGGGATAAGACACAGATAACAGAGATCTGTGATTATTAAGGGGAAAAAACAAAACAAACAACCGGGGATTACTGGCCAGGAGCTACCATTTTCACCAGGTCTATGCCTCACCTATACAGAAGAACAAGACCACTTCTTTAGTAAGATTTCTGGTTTCCTTGTACTCCTTCTAATCTCTGGAATTATGTAGCATGTCATATACCAGAAATAAGACAATGAATTCAGCAATAGGAAACATTCTAGCATTCCTCATCCATTTTAGTCCAGTATGCTGTAAGTCCAACTAAAGCAGGTCCTCAGTGCCAAATTTGTGGGGAAGGGGTGGATCTGGCCACAGCAAGTAGCAAAAAGAGTAAGCATGAACTGCAAGTGGTCACTGGGGAAAAAAGAGGTTGGCTGAACCCTCAAGTCTCCTGTAGAGTTACTATAATTTTCAGGAACATGATAATTTCATTAATCAATAGATTTTAGGATCTATTACCTTATGACTGAAAACTAAAACCATTCCTTCAAGTGTGTCTCAACCTTGAAATGAAGGTTCAGTTGCTCGAATTAGAGGGGTATAACTTATGCAATCATACTCTAGAATTCATAATACTGTAATAATCTTGAATATAGCATAAAAATTGATCAAACTTAAAAGTTATTCAACTCTCTGCAAACACAAGCATGCCATGTTAATGTGACCATATTATAGTAATCACCTATGAAAAGAACCCCAGAAAGATGTGTAGGGTGATCTGTCAATAAACAAGGGCAAAATCTTTTTTTCAAGACTTTAAGAATAAAATACAAATTCATGGTTCAAGAGCAGGCATGAGTTCAAAGCTATTTAGACACAAGAACAACATCTTTCAGGCATGCTGGCAGACACCTTTAGTCCCAGCACTTGGGAGGCAGAGGCAGGCAGATCTCTGTGAATTTGAGGTCAACCTGGTCTACACATTCAGTTCCAGGATAGCCAGTTACATAGAGAGACTATGTTTAAAACTCCCCCAAAAGATATAAGAATAAAAATGAAGCCAATGATAACTAAATATCTAGAGAATGCTAAAGCTCTAGCTTCAATATTGAAGATGGATATTGTTGGGAAGGATAATCAATTTGTTCAAAAGCACACTGTTTCATTGTGAACTGCAAGTGAAGAATTTACATAGCACATGTATCTAATTCCAGGATGACAGCTGGGTTTTATGTTGCACTGCTTGCCATGAGTCTTTTCCTGCTACCCCCTTAAGTCCCCAGCAAACAGAACAATGGTCAGCTTTCAGAAGAAACAAAATCCCCATCAGATAACACTGCTGAATGAACGAGCCCATCTTCAGCCAATGGTGCAAAAGCCCTTGGATAAATTCCCTAGAAGATGATTAGCCTAGATCAAGAAGTCCCCTTGCTAAACAATTTCCGTCTTACCCTATCTTTCAAACGAACCTCGTGGATTTAATGCCATTTTATTTCAGTATAATACACTTGATAAAGAAACTACTTCTGAGACACTTAGGGCATTTCTCCAGTTTTGAGGCTTTGGAGAGAAACTAATCTCATTAACATTCTCTGTTCAGAAGGGAATCAGAATGGTGATCAACTTGTATTCTCATCTACCTCAGTATCCACATTTTAAGCTTAAAAAAAAAAAACTCTTCTAAAATAAAAAGAGCACACACACACACACACACACACCCCTATAAAACTTTCCCATAAGCCTATTCTCACAGAAGAAGAGATAGCACGCCAGGTGTCCCAGTGGTTAGTTATATCTGCTTAGTCTTTGGGGTCTTAGTTTTCCCAAATAGGGTATGGGATGAGAAACACTTTTTACCAGTAAAGAGGCACCAGAACTTCCATTTGTATCATATTGCAACATAGAAATTTCATTCACATAAGAATCAGAAATAGACACTAAAGTCACTGGGCAAAGGGCTGTCAGGGAAGAGGATACACGAGTGGTCCAAGAGTCACCCTCAAGTGGAAAACCACCTAGCCAACATCATACACCTTCAAGAGAAGCAGTGTAGACTGCCCTGCAATGTTAAACCTGAATCTCACTACAAGAACAGCAACAGTCAAATGAATCTTAGGTTACAGAAAGTTCTACTAGACAACTTTGGAAGTAAACATGTTAGCATCACAAAACACTATATATATATATGTGTGTGTGTGTGTGTGTGTGTGTGTGTGTGTGTGTGTGTGTGTATTTAATTTTTAATTTAAAAAGGCAGAAAGACATGACAGGTCATAATGGAGACTACAGAGACATGAAGGCAATCTCTGACTGAATCCTTGATCAAATCCACAAAGCTAAACAAAACTTAGGTAGAGGGTGTTTTCATAACATCTAGGAAAAACCTAAATGTAGACAGTATATAATATGATTGAGTAGTTGTATTAATCAGGGTTCTCTAGAGGAACAGAACTTATAAGGTGAATTGTATTTATTCTCTAATATATATAATGAATGGATTACAGGCTGTGGTCCAGCTAATCCAACAATGGCTGTCTACCAATGGAAGGTCCAAGAATCCAGTAGTTGGTCAGCCCACAAGACTGGATATCTCAGCTGGTCTTCAGTATATACTGGAATCCTAAAGAAGTAGGCTCTAATGCTGGTAAAGGAATGGACTTGCCAGCAAGAGCGAGAGAAGCAGCAAAGAGCAAGCTTCCTTCTTCCGTGCCCCACCTCACAAAGATCTGGATTAAAGGTGGATCTTCCTACCTCAAAAGATTCAGATTAAAAGTGGGTATTGCCACTTCAGAAGATTTTATTAAGAAAATAATCCCTCACAGGTGTACTGAACTGCATGGGTTTTAGTTAATTCCAGATGTAGTCAAGTTGACAACCAAAATAGCCATCATAGTAGTTATCAACAGATGACATGATTGAATTTTTATTGTATAGTAACATTAAGTCTACATAAGAGAATACCTTTGATTCTTTAAAAATTAGAAAATAAGAAAGCAAAGACCAGGAAAACATAAAGAAAAATAAACTGTAAGTAGGGAATCCAGCTTTCTCCTTCTAACATAACATTTTCATGACACAATATCTTAGCCACATACACATTTAAAACTAATATTTAAAGTACTGGAACAAGATATTAACTTGCTGAAGCTATATAAATGGGGCAGCTCTTTAGACTCCCTCATTCATTCTGGGCCCTGTCTTAGATTCCTTGACTCCAAGGAATTTCAAGTCTCATGCAAGTTAGGGAATATCCAGTTTGTAATTGTAGCATACAAGCTGGTCTAGTTGAGCGCAGAAGATCATCAAAGCATTCTCCTAAAACAAGATCCTAGCTTACTTAGCTTTGTTAAGATTAGAAGAATAATTTTTGCTAATTAGAGGCAAGTTCCCTGCCTTTTCAATGACTTCAAATTTCAAGGACTTGCCATCTGGTCTACCTTGGAAAGTATTCACTGTATGTATATCTGTCCCTCACCAGGAACAGCCTGGTGTTCAGGTCTAAGAGTTCCCATAGATTGTTTGGACGTTTCCTTTTTTTCTGGGAAGTACAACATCAAAAGCAGAGGCCAAGTCCTTAGATAGGGAACTGTGTACACTGGGGACTGCACAGCTAAAGCTTAGGGCTTATCTTAAACAAATGTACACACTAGCATACACAGAATACTCTGCAAGCAGCTCAGAACACCCAGAAACTAACCCCAAGTTAGAGAATAGAGTGAATAGAGTTATTAAGACTTGCTGTGAATTCTGAGGAAGTTACTTGACATCTCTGTGCTTTCTGTTTTTTCATCTATAAGCTGTAACACTAGAAGCACCGACCTTAAAAAAAGAAGCTGTAATGAGTACTTAGTCTAAGTACTAACGGCACATATATTTACAGAGTTTAGAAGCTGCTAACTGCTGTCACATAATACCCTTATTCTAAGAAATCTGTCACATCTACTGGTGGCCAGAGAAGAAAATTCCAGTAAAATGGCACCTTGTTTCTCCACAGTCCCTCCCAGTACACCTTGTTATTATGGTCTCAGACCTGTGGCCAGAGCCTTGCAGCACATGTTTCTATGAGCTCCTGCCTCAGGGCCTTGGCTCATGCTACTTCCTCTGTCAGGAACTGCCCTTAACTTTGCCTCATCTTCAGTCCATTTTGCTTCTCTGTTCTCCAAATGTATCCTTCAAGGCTCAGGCTAAATTCAAGTTATGCTACAGAACAGAGCAGGTTTGGGGCACAATCCCACCTCCCTTATGTCTTTAAAGCATTTGTTTTTGTCAATGCACATTTTACCCTTTCTTGTAGGAATCAGAACAGAAACACATGTCCATGTTTTTCTCTCCAACAGACAAAGGCTCTGTGTTCTGCTTATCTCTGCATGCTCCAAAGCCCCTGACCCAGTTTCTCATACAGAGGCTCCATGATAAACCTTTGGTGAAATGAATGGTTAATCTGCAGGAAACAATTTAAGTAAGATAAGATCTGGGATGGAATGTCATTTCCTTTCACAACCTTTAGCTAGCTTCTAGGGGGGATTGCATCTGTGCCTCAACCACATGACCTGTATAGCTGGACTATTGGGGGAGGATGATTCATGCCCAACAACTGGGGTCACTTTACTCACATGTCTTACTAACATTTTGCAACCCAAAACTACTATTCTAGGTTGGGGGAGGTGGGGTGTATGGCCATCACTGATTGCCCACATGTATATCCAGGTTATGGAGGCTCTGCCTTTTAGTTCAGCTTTGCCCTCATGCTGTGAAATTCCCTTCCCAAGGTGTATCCTGAAGTTGTTCACACTGGTGTGCTTTTCATTGAAGATTTTACTATTTCAAAGCACCAAGTTTGGTGCTGAAAGGCTGCCTGATATCCCTAAGTCAAGAAAGTTGAGAAACCAAGGGGACAAACAATATGTGTTTTAGCCGAGCTTTGTGCAGGCTTGTGTCAGAATGCACTTGGCCGTGTACTCAATGTTAATGATTCAACTATTAAATAGTGTCTAAACAGAAACACATAAAACAAGGTTAAGTACTAACTGGTTGACAAAAATGCTGTGACCAGAGGCTGGCAGGAAATTAACTCTGTAGTTCCTCTAGGAAAAATACCAAGTTAGTTCTGGTTCATGCCAGCCTTAAAGAGAATAACTTCCTGAGGTGACAAAAGACAAGAACCACTCATTACATCCGGTCTGGAGAGCAGAACCTCACCTCCTGAGATTAGGCCAGGCCACAGACTGAGAAACAACACCCAGCCCTCACTCACAGCCTTCAAAGGAGAGCTTGCTGTTTTCCAGGCCATATGGCCAAGGGTGCTGTGGGCTGGGGGTGTGCTGTTTCCTCTTGTGAGAAGGCTCATGACTGGAGGCCTGCCACTCCTATCATTTCCTGCTTGGTGCTCTGGTGTCAACTTTGCCCAACCTCAGGGAGGACCAATGTGCGTGAGAAGCCACTAATAAAACCAATACAGAACACAGTAAGGACCCAGCTTGTCACAAATGCACCATCCTAGCAGTATCTACCATTCTGCTTGAGACCCTGGCATGTATCCCAAGCTCCACAGAATAAACATAGTCATTAAAATAATTGGCCAAGGAGCTAAAGAAAACTCAGGTTCAGTCCCTAGCATCCACAGGGTAGCCCACAACCATCTGTAACTCCAGTTCCGGGGTATCCAAAACCTTCATCTGACCTACATGGCACATATATGGTATGCATATTTATATACACACAGGCAAAACACACATACACATGAAATAAAAATAAATCTTTAAAAAAAATTAAAAAGATAATTGGCCAAGCAGGCAACATGGTATAAACTGGTAAT